GGAAATTAGAGTTAATCCCAGAGGGAAATTAATGTTTATATTTATTATAATGTTGGACAAGTTTGTTGACATTTTCTAAATGTGTATTTCTTTAGTGCAAGTGCACCAGCTACTAGAAAGAGTTGGATACAGTGAATGTTTAGTTTATTTTAGGTTTCCTTGAGAAAAGGGCAACATTTAAAACCACAATAATCCCATCTGGCTGCAGATGTTTGTAACTTTTCCCCAACTTGAACTTAAATGTTTTTGTTGCATGATTTGGCTCATTTCACAGAAAATACAACAAAACACGCTATCTGTTTTGTTGCTGTGTTTCCATGTAATGGTAGTACTTATTCGCTTAGCCCCAGTGGGTTTTTGGTATTTGTAAATCTTTGGGGTTGTTTTTTTTTTGGGGGGGGGGGGGGGGGGGGGGGGGTAATAACTCCCATCACCTTTCTGTGCTAGTGGAGAAACACAGCTGGTGTTTGTGTGTGTGTGTGTGTGTGTGTGTGTGTGTGTGTGTGTGTGTGTGTGTGTGTGTGTGTGTGTGTGTGTGTGTGTGTGTGTGTGTTGGGGGGGGGGGGGTGTTTGTACTTCACAAAAAGTCTTTAGGAATGTAATCCTGAAGGAAATTAGAAGTTTTGATTTGTATTGTTGTGGTTTGTGAAGCTTCTGCGTTTTTTTTTTTTTTTTTGGCTTAATTTACATTTTAGGTAGTTTCACAAACATATGACCTCAAAATTCACACGGGTTGCTTTGTTGTCATGTTGACCAAAAGACTAATCACATGACCCAATAACTGAAATATAGTGATGTAATAGTTGTTAGGGGCAGATGTTTCTGTGAAAGAAAATCACATGGTTACACTACACGATGATGCTGTTAACGTCTCATATCGCCATGGAAACCATGTAAAATGAAGCTGCTGACTCACAGGAGGTGGATGTCTTAGTTCACACTTCGGCTGAGATGTTTTACAATACAAATACCTCCTTATTTATTAGTGTTAATGCACCTATTATTTTTGCTTTAAAGTAGAGAAGGTATTTCTGTATTTTTGTTTAATTAGTTGCACCTAACAGGGACAGCAGTAGCTCAGGAGGTGGTAGTAGTAGTAGTTGTTGTTCTTGTAGTAGTAGTAGTAGTAGTAGAGGTTTATTTAAACAAGGACACTGCACAATTTAACATTAACTGGAAAGGAGAGATGTATTGTTACAGGTTGTAGCAAAGATGCTAATTTCCACCTGTAGTCCCTGGGCAGGTTGACATTACAATCACAAAACTAAAAGGAGTGTTAACAAACGTCCATGTCATTTATAAAACCGTATCATTTACAAACATTTACCAAAAATTTAAAACTTAATGCCCAACAAACAAACACACACACACACATTTCATAATTAACCATGTGTACACTCAGGTTCGATCCCGGCTCCGACTAGAAAATGCTGCTGTTGAGTCCTTGGGCAAGACACTTAACCTGCCTTGCCTGCTGGTGTTGGTCCGAGGGACCGGTGGTGCCAGTGTTAGGCAGGCCTCGTCTTTGTCAGCGCTCCCCAGAGCAGCTGTAGCTACATCGTAGTGCATCCCCACCAGCATGTGAATGGGTGAATGACTGATTGTGTTGTGAAGCGCCTTGGGGGGTTGTAGAACCCTACGAAGGCGCTATACAAATTCAGTCAAAAATCAGCAGATTGATTGTTGCTTATCTGAATCTAACTGGATTGTTCTTCTCTTTTAGTCACACTTTAAAGTTTTGACCAAAGCTTCTATTTATGTGACTCGCAGTTGGGATGGAATTGGACCTGTCTGTCTGAGGCATTCACCAACACAATTACTCCGTGTGACGACAGAGTGGCACACTTTCTCAGAATGTGGGTTAATGAAGCACTTCAAAGGTCAGGCTGTCCTGGTAGGGCTCTGTAGAAAGATACAGAAACAGAATCACTGAAAGGTATTTCAGAAAGGAAATTGGAGCTTATGGAGGTGATGAGCGCTGCCCCATGCGGCTGCACGCACTGAAGTGAGGAGAGTCCCAACCCTACCGTCCCACCTAGTGGACACTTATGTTGTGTGATGTCTGAAGTCTGTTGCATTTCTGTCTGAGGTGTTTTTTGCATAGCAAAGCTGCCCTCCCTGTGGAGGGTAACTCTGAAGGGCCTTTTTTCCCTCCACCTGACTCTATCCTCATATAAACCCTCTTGATCTATTACGGTAGCGCAAATCTGGTTGCGAATGACCACAGTCACCAATTCTTGTCATGTGTCTATGTATGTATGAATGTCTGATCTCAGAATTGTGTGTACTGAAACCCTAATTTCCCTCTGGGATTAATAAAGTGTTATTGAGTTGAATTGAAATAAATTGAATGTAACGTATGCCTGTGCTTCCCACACTATCTTCAGATTCCTCTGCTGGCGTGGATCTGTTACCGATAGCGATCTAAAACATAAACATTGAGCTTCTCCTTTGGGTTTGAGGAACTTAACACGATCGTACATCTGTTTGTGGTTGTGGCGGCTGGTAAATGTGAAAATGACACAAAGCGCTGCATGCTGGAGAGAAAGGCTGAGGATTAATGCAGCGGGCCAAGCCCTCTGTAGAATAATGTTATCGAACCCAGAACAACAGGGGAGCGGGCTGCCGGCCCACACAACTAGACTCAGCTGTGCAGCCAGGGCCGACGGCCAAACCAGAACGCCGCGCTCACACCAACTCCCACAGACCCCCGACTGCTAACGAGCAGATGTTAAATATGCATTAAAGAAGGGAAAACATTCTTCTGAAATACTTTTATTTTGTTATTTAATATGGACCACACACACACACACACAAGCAAGGACGAAATAGTACACGTCGAATACAATTTGTTCAAATATATGAGCTGATAGTATTGAAAAATAATCCCATTAGTTACTCGAACAAATAAAGTATTGTATTCATGTGAGGAGAGAACTACATACGTCCTTTTCATAAAGAATAAGAAGGAGTGCACACACTGGACCGCTGTGGGACGGGGTCATCTGCGAGGAGGACGCGGGCAGCAGAGGGCGACATTGTCCTCTGCTGCCCGCAGATAAACTGAGAAGGAAGTGACGCCACCTACATCAGCGTTGCTCTGAGGAAGGCTACAGAGTTAGCCAAAAGTTGTCGTCAAAAAAGGAAAAACAAATCATTATTACAATGTGTGCCAAAAAGAACCAAAAGATGGAACAAAAAAGCATTTTCTCCAGAGGATTTCTTGGCTAAAGAAGTCACCTCAGAGAGAAAAGTCTTGCACCTGGCTGCATTTTGTAAATTAAAAACAGCCAAGAACCTTTTTGGTTGTAGGAATGAAGCTTCTGAGGGAGTCAGCCTCAGAGGAGGATAGGATAGGGTGGAGAAAGATCAAGATTTCTCTTCTCACCAAATAGTTTAATAGGATCTGCACTAAAGCATGTTTTAGTCCCAGCAAGGTAATGTCATTATAAATGTTTTATTATACAACACAATTCAATGATCAGCTGCTCCACGAGCTGCAGAAACAAGATAGTTTACGTGTAACTGTTATAATAACTTTAGCGCTTGTCCAAAACCATATGTAAATTCATTTTATATTTATGTGTTCTGAGGAAGTAGGACCATAAATCCTTTAGATTAGTTTTTTCTAGCGTACACGTAAACGTTTTCAAACCCAAACAGTTTTAGTCCTTATAACAGCTGAGGAGTAGCTTCAGTGATTAAACTGTAATTCTGAGTTTTGGAGCAGATGAAGTCACTTTTAAGGCAGGCTCGTGTTTTTAATTAATCCACCAGCAGTTTATGTTTCACTAAGATCGTTTGGAGGATTAAAAATGCCTGAAGCTTTAGATTTTCCACATTTAATCTCTGATCATCAGAGATGCAGGTGTGGAAACATCCAGGATTGGTGCTGCAGAGGTGGAGCTCAGTGAGAGTGGTGATCAGCTCATGAATCCTTCTAGGTGGTGATCCAGCATTTCACTTGTTCTTTAAATTGTGTTTGTAAAGTGAAATAAACTAGACCATAAATAACCAACAATCACTTAAATGGCCTTTTCTTTTAATTTAATGTGTATAATCTCTAAATGATGTTAGTCGTCTGTAGCAACATGCCCAACCACAAGAGGGCAACAGTGCTGTATGAACTACATTAAAGGGATGACAGTGTAGTAGATTGCATTAGTATGCATGTAGTGGCTGGAGTTTATTGATGTGGGATGTAAATGACAATAATCATGATTACTAAAAAAGTACTACATGCAGAGTACCGGTTCATTAACACAGATTTTTCTCATCTTGGAAGTTGCTCTTTATCAAAGTTAGTAAATTAATCCCAGATTATCTGTGGGAGTTGGGAGAATGACACCAATGAAAAGTTCAAAATCGCTTCATGTCAAAACGCACATCTTCACACAGGAATAGCTGCAGTATCTCCATCTGAAACACACTTGGAGTAAAATAGTAATAGTTGGCTACATTCCTTCACATCTTTTTCTCTGCCATTAAAAACTTTCTGCAGCTTGGTTACAGCTTGTGTGTGTGTGTGTGTGTGTGTGTGTGTGTGTGTGTGTGTGTGTGTGTGTGTGTGTGTGTGTGTGTGTGTGTGTGTGTGTGTGTGTGTGATGCAACTCAGTGTAGAAATGTGTTTTTGATTGCTTGCTTATGTAAAAGCAATCAAGAGAAACAGGTTTTCTTTGCAGAATCCAAAGAGAAAATACTAAAGACATGATGGCTGTGTCTTCTTATGCCCAGAAGTACTTTAAATCTAATAGTAAACAAATGAATGCACAAACAACAACAAAGCTACATCACTTACTAACTAGATTATATAAATCATATGTAGAGAAATTATACTTGATTTTAGATGCACATTTCTTTATTTTCTTTTATTGAAATTAAAACAAATGCAGGAAAATCTGCAGCTTTCCCCCTTCAGCCTGGCCTACTTGTGACTCCTTCGCTGCTGCTTTTCCTCTGTGGCCAATCGTCTTTCTGCTTGCGCTCTCTCTCGTTGCTAGGGAGACAGAGGAACCGACTGGAGCCAATGGACACCATTTTCGTCAAGCAAGTAAAGGAGGGAGGCCCCGCCCACGGAGCTGGACTCTGTACAGGTACACACACACACACACACACACACACACACACACACAGTCTCTGCAGGGGGTAGTCCTGTGTAACCGACTGATCTTATGATCAGCTGGTTTTTGGAAGGCTGAACACACAGTTACTCCTGAATTTCACAAGATTTTATTTTCTTACATTCTTTCTTTTCTTATCTTATTAAAACATGAATCACTTCTAATTTTAACCTGGGAGATAAAACCTTAAAAACTCCCTCCTGGTGAAACTGGTGAAACCTTAGAGTTTCCCAGAAACAATGAGACGTTTGAGGCTCTGCCGGCAGCTTTGGTGCAGAGTCAGCGCTCGGCCTTACAGGAAGTGGTCTGGACAAGCCCTCAGAGCTATCTCTGCTCCAGGGAGACTGGGGGTGCAGTGCTTCCCATAATTATCCGGTTTATCTCCCAAACTCACCTTGCCTCTTCCCGTAAGATCTTCAGAAGAGTTGAGTGACTCAAACATGCTTTCAAATAAACACATTCTTTGTTGTTTGTGGTGGAAGGCGCTACTTGATTTATTTGTTTTCAGTTGATTGGATTTTAGGGTGTAATCCTGTAATTGTGTGCAGGGGATCGGATCGTGAAAGTGAACGGAGAGAGCATCATCGGGAAGACGTACTCGCAAGTCATAGCTTTGATCCAGAACAGGTAGGTGCTTCTTCACTCCCAGGCTCTGGGACCTTTACAGATCTATTCTTCACGTGAAACAGTTACAGGGTTAGAATTTCAGATATTTTCTATAACAACAAACACAGTTAACCTAGAGTATGGTCAAACAACGTTTTCATCAAGTATGACATAACCACTCGCCCTTAAATTCCATACAAACACCATTTTTTATCTTTTTAAACTCAAAAATCTCCTTATGGTTACTCGAGGTGATTTGTTGTGCCAGTTTCAGGTGAGTTCAAGCATAAAACATAAACATTAAGGCCTCTTCTCTTGTGTTCTTCCTCCTTCTGTTCCACTTTTACATCCATCAGTGATGCATCGTTGGAGCTCTGTGTGATGCCCAGAGATGAAGACATTTTACAGCTGGTAAATATTATTAAACATTATTATGAATGCATACAGAGGGAATATCCACATGCATATAACGTGAAAAGTTTTTCAAACATGCAATCTAACTAAAAAGCAATTTACAGACAGTTGCTGTGCTAACTTGATGATTTTATTGGTTTGCTTGTGTAAAATATTCAGATTTTGCAGTAGGAAGCTATTTAAGGTTTATTTCCCAGTTGCACAGTGGAATTAACTGGTTAAAGATTAGGAAAACAGACAAATAGCAGCGAGGTAACACATGATGAAACAATTTATTTCTGGACAAAAATCTTCTGAAGGGAGCAACAAAACGGGATATATAGTATCAGAGTTGGCATGAATCATGAAAATGTAACCTAATCTAATCTGGATTAGGATCAAAAGCTAACATTGTGGATAAGATTAAAGATTTAGAAATAGTCCAAACATGCAGCTGCGGGAGTGAAAACGGCAGCAATTCGAGAAAAGCCAATCTCCACTCCGTGCCAATCGAACCAACGGTGTGAACCACCAGTTATCAGTCAGGGTCCAGGGCACCACAGACGATAACGCAGCGCCGCGTCGATCCAAACCAGGGAAGCACAGAACTGAGTCGGAACAAACGGAGCTGCTGAATTCCTCACATAGTTTGGTAGCACAGCTCACCAGAAGCCACAGACAGTTGCTTTAGACCCTCAGGAAGGAGTCTGAGGGGTCATGAGGCTGAAAGATTCAAATGAAGCAGTTAGTTATTCCATCTAAAAGGATTACGTGTTGCTCCACAGAGCAGCTCTTTAGAGTTTGACTGTTTTTACACTTCACTGTGGCAGTGAAGGGAAATTACGCGTATTTAAATGTGAGATTTCCTAATGTTTGGTTTGAAAAGACCTGTAACCTTTAGCATGAGCCCACTCAGTACCAGAGGGAGTGCAGCTGCATTCAGCTGACACCTCACAGCACGCTGTGTTCTGGGTGGAAACCAGCACAGATCGAGCAAGCGCGCGGTTATTCCTAACCAAAAGAGAACATATGACGAGTCGCATCTGAGCGATGGAAGAGACACCGACAGGGATGAGGAAAGAAGCGAGTGGGGAGAGCGTTACAACATGGGTGAAATGGTGGAGGACCCAGAGAGGACGGGGGGAGGTACCGGTGAGACAGAGCCAGCAGGATGGAGGTGACTGTTCTGATAGCAGCTGAGCTGTTGGGGGGGGCGACATGATGGAGTATGGCGGAGCACCTTTATTCCTCTAACGTTTCATTTCCTGTTTTCTTTCCTGCCGTGCCTCTCTGCATCAGGGTGTATTTTTAGCTGAGGTGCACTGATTTGCAGAAATCCATTTTTTAAAGCACCAACCTGCCAACATATCGCTTTTATGACGTGGCTGCATGGTGACGCAGTTGGCAGCGCTGTCGCCTCGCAGCGAGACGGCCGAGGAAAGGAAATGAATTTCATTTCTCAGTTTCAGTCCGGTCAAAAGAGTAGAGCTGAAAATCAGCTGATTCCTGTCACCTGCTGAGTAATCGGTGCACAGCTAGATTTAATGTTCACCTCCGTCTCTTTGTTCTCACCTGTTAACCCTCTTCTAACCTCTTCTTTCCTTCTGCTTACTAACCCGTCGACAGTTTTCCAGGGATATCACTGCTCTGGTAAGACGGGAATTATTCTCTATTAATAGCTTCCCTCTGTCGTGTCTCGTGTCGTGTCTCACCACCTCTAGAGCTTTTGTTATTAGAAGTTGGCAAGCCCCAGATAAATTCCCCTTCACCTGTGTTTGTACTTGGATTACTTTTTGGTTTTCTGGTATTGAAACCATCTTTCAGCAGACCTTAAACATTTCTCTCCGTGGACTTTCCACCATCAGTAAATTGGTTTCTATTTGACGGGATGAGTTCAGCTCCAGAGGCTGGCATTCAGCAGCGCTTTGTCAACACGTTCGTAACTTGACACCACAGGTAGGGTGCTGTTGATTAAAGTCCAGCACAATAACTCCCTCCCTTCCATTTGCTCCTGGGCGTCTGTGCTGAAAGGATGCTGCTCAGGGAGTTTTTCTAAAGCTCACTTGGATGTTTTAAACGGCAAAGCTTAGAATTTTTATTTATGTTTTAGTCGAAGGAAGTCCTTTTAACCTGAGCCATGCTAACAGAAGTAACTTTAGCCGTCAAAAAAAGACGTAGGAGGAGGAGGAGACCCCCTTTCACTTTCTCCTCGTGTCTCAGGGCTCACTCTCCGGTCCAGAAGGTGGGTACTGCTGTGAGCTTCGTGCGTATTTACCTCTCATTTGCTCTCTTCTCCCACTTTTTCTTTTTAACATTTTAAACATTAACTAGTCACTAGTCTGGGACAGATTATCAACAGTACTGTGTTTAAAGTGGAGAAATCGTGTTTGTTGCCTTCCCTCTGAAGCTAGCAGTCCTCTGAGTGAATGTAGCAGCAGCAGTGATTGTTCTGATAATCTCATCAACTCACACAGAGATGTGACTCCTGGTTCGGTTTTCAGCCTTTCTGCAGTTTTTAAAACCGTCACGATGCAGCGCTGTGGAGGGAATACGTTTAGAGCCCTGCTGTTGCTGTGAGGTCAGAGAAAAATGGGTAGTCAGACTTGAGCTGTAAAATCTCAAATAAAGATGACAGATAATTCGATGAACTTTCTTTGTCTCAGGGCCTAATCAGTAGCTCATTGCCCAGTGATGAGATATAAGAAATGCTTGTACTTATATCCCATCACTGCTTTGATGTGACTAAAGGGACATTTTCTGCCATCTTTTCACAGGCTTATTCTCAGGATGCATACCTCAAAGGAAATGAGGCTTACAGCGGAAATGCTCAGAACATCCCAGAGCCTCCTCCCTTATGCTACCCTCGCATAGAGCTCAACCCTGCGGGCATGGCCCAGTTGTCGGAGCTCGCCCCAGTCAGGGATACCCCCAGAGGGCCGGTGCCGGGACCAGGGAGGCGAGCAGCAGCTGTGGAGAACAGCTATCGGGTGGAAATCCCTGTTCCTCCTTCTCTTCCTCTGCAGCAGCAGGTAGTGAAGACTCAAGCGGTGGTGTGTGTCTCTACTGAGAATGTTAGGACTCCAGACATCCTCCCTGATCCAGTGGACAGGGGGTCACGGGTGGCTCGGGCTGGACCCAGCCACAGGACAGAAGAAAACCGGTACAATTCTTCAGCAGAGAGTGGCACCACTAGACCCAAACCTATCATTCCCTCTGTCCCTGGGGGTGCACAGCTACAGTACACCTCCTCCCACCTCACAGAAACACCAAACTTCTCCCCCTCGTCCACTTCCAGACCCGATACAGTCCTTTCTGAGACCTTATCCCCACCAGTACGAGCACCGACTGCTGCTGCATCATCTGACCTATTCTCATCAGCCATCTCACCCTCTACCAACCACTACTCCCCCTCTCCCACAGCCCCCTCCACCTCGCCACACCAGAACATTGACTGGAGAACCTACACCACCTATAAGGACTACATCGATGCTAAGAGGCTGCACACATACGGCTGCCGCACCATCCAGGAGCGCTTGGATAGCCTCCGTGCAGCCACCAGTTCTAGCTCTGCCTACACCCAGAAGCGTACTCCCACATCATGTAACAATCAGAAAGGGATGTCTGGCTCTCAGGGCAGACGGAAGAGCACGTCTAACGACCGTGGGGGGGATACAGGAGGTCGGTGTGCTACAGTGACAGCTCCATTACGGAGCGTGTCCCAGGAGAGGTTAGGGGGGCCAGCAGAAAGGACCACCAGGAACTGGCCTCGAAGTGCTTCTCAAGACGCTCTGCCTTTCTCCAACACCATCAGAGTCATCAAACCTCGAGCGCGGTCATGTGACTACCTGAGCCAGCAGCTCGGAGAGCAAGGCAGTGTTGTGTCTGGAGACAGGGCAGCGGTGGAGGAAAGGCTACTCCTCTGTGATGGAGGAAAGAAACAGGAAACAAGCCAGAGGGTTTTACCTCATCTGAGCCGGAGTCTCACTGGACAAGAGGAAGATGGACGCACAGGTGGATTACTGAACTCACCTGAAGCTGCGCCTGACTCTACCAAAGGTACGGCGGATTCTGCATCGCCGAGGACAGACGGGCTCATAATGAGACCTTCTCGTTTGCCTGTGAAAAACTCCATCTCAGACCTTTCTCCTGCCTTATTCTCCATTAAAATCACAGACCCTCCTAAAGACCAAAAAGCTAACATCATGGGGAACCACCTTAGCTACTCGTCCCCTCTGAACCTGCAGCTCAGGGGCAGAGCTGACAGCCTAAAAATGGAGGGCAGGTTAGATTCGGGATTAACAGCCAGATCTTCATCCTGCTCTGGAGCCTCCTCCAAACTGCCCATGCACAGACAGCTACAAAGTGGAGTTGCTACCATTACGTCTTCATCATCTTCCACTGGAGCAGTGACCCAAAAGCCAAATGTCAAAGTAACCTCTAGTTCTACCAGCGCTCTTGAGAGGACTAATGGTGGCTTTTCAGAGAGGGTCAAAGGACCTGACGCTACAGTTGTGGTCCTCAGAAGGGGCAAACTCTCTGGAGGCGCCCGTGTCCGACCGCCGTCCTACGTATTAGCCGTTAACGACAACCGGAGCGCAGCGAAGCACAAGTCTCCACCCCTGGTGAAGGCCGGTTCTGCAGATGGAGCTATGTGTTGGATGTCTAATGAGAGCTGCAGGAGGAGGCTGAGAGACACGAGACACGAGATCTCAGGTTCAAACAACCTGGATGACTCTCTGGATTCAATCCCTTTCATAGGTAAGCAAACAACCCTCCTCCTCAATGTCGTTTCTGTAGCAACGATGGGATGACTTTCAGCCTTTTCATGCCCAGAAATTAAAATACTACAAAGCATTATTTACACAGCCGGACTCTTTTATCTCAGACTGTAAAATGAATGATTGACTTCCTGCTGTGCTGCTGTTAGACCAAAACAAAGCTTGTTTTTCTCTTCAAATTTTTTTTATTAATTATTAATAAATTAAACGACAAATGAAAAAGAAAACACCATTATTTACATTCTCCACCCTTTTATTCCCACCTTTAAGGAACAATAGTCTTTATTTGGCCGGCTGAGTAATGATGGTGTGATCTTGGCAGGAGTTTGACATTGTGAAACGATACGATGAAGGAATTCAGGTACATTTGCAGCAAGGCGGGAGTGTGTGTGTGTGTGTGTGTGTGTGTGTGTGTGTGTGTGTGTGTGTGTGTGTGTGTGTGTGTGTGTGTGTGTGTGTGTGTGTGTGTGTGTGAACAGTAAACACAGCTGGTTAGATGCTGCAACAGTTGTTTGATTGATGGGATTATCTGCAGCAAGGGTAAATTTGCAAAGCAGGAACTGAACATTAGATTATCTAATATTCACAAAAGTTTGAGAATTCTACTTAAAGATAATATCAAGTAGGTTTTTCATGATTCAGCTAATTAAAGTTAATAGTATTGATTTGCATTATTTTGGGGGTCTAATGCGTTAACTGTTTTGTGCGCTCCTTTAAGCATTTGGGTTAAAAGTTAGACTTTATTAAACCATAATGGCGCTTTTTATTAAAGGTTGGCAAATGTCTGTTTCCTGAAATCATTTTCAGCCTTGAATGTAATTTTAATGTAAATATGTATAGGCCAAATGTTATTGTTATTATAAAGGATTCACAAAACAAACTACAAAAAACAGTAAAAGACGTCAGCTGCATGCAGCATGCTATGGTGGATGTTCTATTTATTATCAGATAGTTGAGTAGCGGACGGGAAACGTTTGAACTGGTGGGTCGTAGTCATTGGGTGTAGTAAATGACTCCATGTGACGAGAGCAGCGTCTGTCTGTCCAATAAGACACGTGATGAAGCCACGCTTTTGTCTTCTGAGCAGGGCATCCCAGATACGCACGTCTAGACGCCCCGGTAAACATCTCAAGTTCCCGTCAGTGGAGGAAACCTAAGAGTGTTGTCCTAGTGGAGTGTGACATAACCGTAACATTTCATAGCTCCAAACAATAAGTGGAACAACAGTAGCTGCCAGCAGCAAGTCGTTTAGTGCTGCGATCAGAACCTGCTGCAGTACGTCACGCGTTAAATGTCCCCGTCTACGACCTGATGAAACGAGTCACAAACAAGCAAGTCACATGTTACATGGATTCATCGAGTTTTGCTAGAAGACACTCGTGTTGATTTTCAGTGATGAGCTCAAACTCATCCTCCGTTCTGACTCATTAGGATTCACTGAGAGCAGCTCTCGTATTTACTCTTGTTCTTACTGGAATGTAGAAAAGGCTTCAGGCATGCCTCGTCATCTAGATTAGATGCAGATATTTGCATTTCCCTTTGTTCTGTCCAGAGTTTATTTATTTAGCTGAAAGAAGACAAGAACTTGTGCTATTTTGATGGCGTTAAATCCAGTTACCAACTTCACCAAAAGGTTTACAAAATTCATATTACAAGAACGTATAAAATAATGAATGGGTCATAAATCATCTGGAGTCTCTGCTAACAACAAAATTCAGCCTAATAATCCACGGCCAAGAGGGTTCATTTAGAACAGGGGTGTCAAACTCATTTTAGCTCAGGGGCCACATTGAGGGAAATCTAGTCCCAAGTGAGCCGGACCGGTAAATTAAAATAAAAACTTCAGATTGTTTTCTTTGTTTTAATACAATCAATATAAAACAAGGCTGGAGCCTGAGGACAGTGTAGTACAAGTACAACACCTGAAGTGTACTTGAAAATAAAAAAAATAATAAAAAACAACAAATAAAAAAAAACATTCCTTAGTGATTCAAAGAGCTTACAGATCACATGGCTAGATCAGTTCCATGCAGCACTTAAAGTATATTTGACTCATTTTACTTCACATCTTTTAGCTTTCAACAGCACATCAACATCAGAAGTCACATCGTGAGTGGCGGCCAACTTCAGGATGTGATTCAAGTTCTTGTGTGAGCCTTGAGCGCAGCTTTGTTTTATTTATACTCATTCCAGAGAAAACTTGCTCACACAGATAGGTTTATTTTCACTCTACGTTGTAAAGTATGAAAATAAAGTTTACACAACCATCTTGCGGGCCGGATTTAACCCGCTTGCGGGCCGGATGCGGCCCGCGGGCCGCATGTTTGACACCCCTGATTTAGAATATCTATGGCTCTACCTGTATTAAGTAAATCCTGCCCCTCCATCGTTCACTTCCTGATGGATCCTAATTTGTGTTTGAGGCTCGCCAGCTTGCTGATAAATCAAACTTTATGACACCGCCTGGCCTCGGATGATGTCATGTTCTTTGACTGAACAAAGAGGAAGTCGTCTGGCAGCTTATCAGGACACAAACTGTCTCTCTGTCTGAACCCTCACAGTTTTCTGCAATGCTGTCTGATGATGTTTTCATTCGCGGGATTTAAGTCGTTTTTGTTTTTTTATTCTGATGCACAGAAAGCTGCTTTCTGCAACTTTTTGAACGTTCCCACTGATGTAGAGCAGCACTGTGAGCTAGGTTGAAACAAGTGTCTCTATTCTACAACTTCCTCCTTATTCTAACCTCCTCCTCCGTTTCTGTCCTCAGATGAACCGTCCAGTCCCAGTCTGGACCTGGACAGCACACACATTTCTGCCTCGGTTGTGATGTCAGCAGCGCCGCTTGTCACCACCATCCCACCCAGCCCCACCTCTTCATCCCCTCTCATTTGTCGCCAGCTGTCACACGATGAAGGTCAGCTTTCGTTTTGGCTTTTGACAGTTTCTGAACTATTTCATCCAATAGTGCGCCCCTTCTTAAAAAAGCTGATCTGTTTACTTTTTTTAAGCAGATTCTGGTCTCAAAACAGAGCGATCGAAGTCTTATGATGAAGGCATCGATATCTACCAGGAGGAAGGAAGAGGGTGAGTTTACCTGAGAATGACCTGATGGAAATGTTCCAGGTTACTTTCACACATAAAGTACAACTAGCCAAGGATAAACAGTGTGAGAATCGTCTGTTTTGAGGTTTTTAAGAGGACGTTCAGTAATTCTTCTTGTTTTCTTCTGGCCAGGGGGTCCATGTTACCTGGTCTAAAAGGGCTGAGAAAGGTAAGTCACCCAACGTGCCATCAGCTATGTTTATATGACAAAAGCAACTGCTTTACGAGCCTTATCAGCCTCTCGTTTCACACCCAGGAGATAAATGTTGTCTGACACGAATGTGAATGTATTACATCAGGCTTCACCGGTACATAAATTATCCAGAAAGAGTCAAACGTTTATACTGTACAGTTTATTGTTAATCTATAACAGGGTATCCGCTGGTCCTTAAAAAGTCTTAAATTTGCTTTTCCAAATTTAAGGCCTCAAAAGTCCTTAAAAATGACAAATAATCCTTAAATAGAGTTTACAAAGGTCTTAAATGACCAAAGACCCAATAAACAGGATTGTTTCATTTCTATAAAATTTTTGTGAGTTTCTCGTTAGCGTTCAGCGTTTTTTTGTGTACAATATTGGCATAAGCGGAACCGTACACATTCAGTTGGTTGTGAAAGGGGGCTATTTTTAGATGAGCACATTAGCTGGTTAAGCTAGTGGGAGCTTGCACCATGGGGAAGTGCAAGTTTAATTGGCTAATCCCACGTTTGCGACGTGGTTGGCACCGGTTCCAGGCAATAGCTGGAAATTATAGCTTAAATTTTATTTTTAGAAATAGCTTAAATTTGGTCTAAGTGGCCTTAAAAAGGGTCTTAAAATGCCTTAAATTTGGCTCCCATAAACCTGCAGATACCATGTATAAAGAACTTTACACATTGTACCAAATCTGACCAGCACAACGTTTCATTTAGCTTTTCCTTTAAATGTATTATTTATGTTTCAGGCTGTGGACAGATCATCTGATGATTCCGGCTCAAGGAGAGATTCTTCATCAGATGTTTTCTGCGACGCCACCAAAGAAGGTTTTCTGCATTTCAAGCAGCTTCACTTAGAAAAGGGAAAGGTGTGCAGATCACGTGCTGTAACTCACTCACCTACACAGAAAACACACAACGTCATTTGTATTGAGCTCCTTTCTTCTTTTTGCAGCGTGTCGGAGGAGGAGGTATGCGGCAGTGGAAGCAGATGTACGGCGTCCTGAGAGGCCACTACCTCTGCTTGTATAAAGACAAGAAGGAAGGCCAGGCTCACGCCAGCTGTCAGATCGTTGAGGAGCCGCTGCAGATCAGCATCAAGGCCTGTCTGATCGACATCTCCTACAGCGACACCAAGCGTAAGAACGTGCTGAGGCTGACCACGTCGGACTGTGAGTACCTGTTCCAGGCGGAGGACCGGGAGGACATGCTGGCGTGGATCAGAGTCATACAGGAGAACAGCAATGTGGATGAGGAGGTATGAACAGTCATATTTGTTAAAGAAGCAGATGAATTACTGACCCTGATGACCTTTAAATCAGAATTAATCCCAGTCATTCAGTGCTAAGTTCAAACGAAGGCCACTGGATGTCAAAGACTTTTAGCTAAAGCCGGGCGGACACTGTGCGACTTTTTCACTCGCAGCGTTCAGCTTCAGCTCAAACTGTACGACTTCCTCGCAGGGCAGATCTCACGAGTCATGTGCTCACACTGCACGACCCAGTTCTCGCACGCGACTTGATTGCTCACACTGTACGTCTGGTAGCAACACGCCGGCCCTAAAAATATGCTAAAAATAGCAGTTTTTACTCAACACGTCAGACTTTTTTGTCTTGTTTTGCCTGTTGTCCTTCGGGAGTGCTGCAGGAGGACACACAGGGATTTATGGGGGTTGGATGAGGAAAACGAAATAAAGAAAGTAAATCTGTGTTTTGTGATCAGTTTAATTTGACATGAACACGACAAACACGCTTTCTTGACAATCTTTGTGAGTAAAAAAACGTGTAGAAACAAAAACGAACAGCGTGTGTTATTAGGGAAATAGCGAGCGGCGTTGATGCAGGATTGCGCATGCGCCGTGAGCGGTTCTGATACTTTTTGGGTCGCAGCTGCTCGCAGCGCCGCTTCAATAGTACGATACCCTCACGAGGGACGAGCGAAATTTTAAACACGCCAGAAGTCCGTGCGACCTCACGACTGCTGATCGGCGGCTGGTCACGTGGTGTTAATCGCCTCTCGTAACCCCCTGTACACTACACGACCGCTCGGCGCAAAACTCGCCCCGATCTCGTGGATTCTCGCACGACTGGAAAATCGGCTCAAAAAAGTGAAAAAGTCGCACAGTGTACGCCCGGCTTTAGATGAGAAGAAAAAGGAAGTTCAGTTAATTTAAAGTTAGTAGAATTTTCCACTAGGTGATGTGGGGATGTAAATGTATGAATGTGCTGCCGGTGTGTCAAAGCAGAGGGAGTTGACAATCAACACACTCTGATGGAAGGTTCAGATCAGAGAACACGTTTCTGTCCGGACTGTTTTAGATGTGACACACTCTATCCATCACATGAAAACAAGTAAGGCCAGAGATGTGCTTACTTGTTGATGATTTAAAGTTTTAATCTCTCATCCTAGCTTAATGAGTAGAGGAGGTTAATTCCCAGCTACCATGTAAGATGCTAGCATTAGCAGCTAATTATTAGCTACAGTTCAATTTAACCAGGAAAATTGGGATAAAATTGGGATTTGACTTGACTTGTACTTTATTTTGAACTAACGTAAAAAAAACATTTTTTATACAACACAACTCGACACAAAAGCAATCAAATAATAAAGTCCGAAAAGGAGTAGTTAGAAGTAAAACTTGTACATTCCTACCCCTTCTCACTTGCTCTTATTCAACTTATCTCAAAAAACAAAATTCAAAAATTAAGAAACATATCTATATAAAAATAACAATAATACAGAGAACAAGTAGATTAAACATACTCAACAATCAACTTCTTGTATAATTCTATATAACCAAGCTCATCAACATAATTATCCAATAGATGTTTTTTGTAAATAAATGACCCGCCCTTGTATAGCGCCTCTCAGAGTAAGGACTCCAAAGCGCTTTACACTACAGTGTATCATTCATCCATTCACACACACATTCACACACTGGTGGTGATAAGCTACGATGTAGCCACAGCTGCCCTGGGGCGCTCTGACAGAGGCGAGGCTGCCGAGCACAGGCGCCACCGGTCCCTCCGACCACCACCAGCAGGCAAAGTGTCTTGCCCAAGGACACAACAACAGAATTCTCTGTCCGGAGCCGGGATTGAACCTGCAACCTTCCGATTACTGGACAACCCGCTCAACCTGTTGAGCTGCTGCAGCCAGCTAGCTCTTCTTAAATTGATTTACCTTTACACATTTTTTCAAATCTTCAAATTGTTCCAGAATTCAACCCCACATATCGTTGTACACATACTCCTCTTTGTTGTCCCAACTCTCTGTTTCTTGAAGTTTAATGCCCCTCTTAAATTGTACCCATCGTCTTTATCATTAAACATTTTCTGTACATTACACGGAAGTAATTTATTTCTTGCCTTAAACATGATTACTGCGGTTTTAAACTTCATCAGATCAATAAATTTTAACACTGGTAATTTTAAAAACAGTGTTGTTGTGTGTTCCCTATATCCCACATTATATACTATCCTCATTGCTCGTTTTTGCAGTATGGATGGTGATTGTAGATTACTCAGGTGTGTGTTTCCCCAAACTTCCACACAGTGGTTCAAGTAAGGCATTACCAGTGATGAAAACAGAATATACAGTGATTCTTGATTCAGTAAATGTTTTATTTTACCCAAGACACCAATGCTCTTTGCCAATTTTGTTTGTATATATTTAATATGTGGTTTCCAGCTAATATTATGGTCTAGGATAACCCCATAAACTCTCTCTATTCTTACATTTTCTAACATCAGTTTTATCTCAGAGTCCACTCTTCGATTTCCCAACAAGATGACTATGGTCCAAGTTTAATGATAACTGGTTCAAGCTGAACCATTCTTTCAACTTACTCATTTCAGTCCTCACTTCTCCCAATAATTGCTCTATATTCTCCCCACAACAAAGAGCATTGGTGTCGTCTGCAAACAAAACAATTTTTTATGTTTTTGAAACCATAACTAAGTCATTTATATACATAATAAATAAGTCACTGTAAAAATGTACATGATAGTTTTGACATATCACCTACTTCTGGATCGTTCTGATTTCTGACACGTTATTATGAATAATTACTATCCCAGCCGGTGTAGAAATCCCCTAAAATAACCTCAAACTGGAGAAACAGATCAGCTCAGACCAAACCGACAAGCTAATGGCTAATGGGGCTAATTAGAAAATATAATTCAGCTGTCATAAATAACTTCCAGTTCAAAACATATATATTTAAACTTCTGTCAGTTTTTCATTACTTAGTTATTGTTAGTGGAAGGTGGTGCTGTAGGGTTAGGGTTAGCATAACCCTCGCCCTGATAGCTGTAGCACCTCTGGTGTCACATTTCTCCTGATCCAAATGTAATTTTACTCATAGATCTTCAACTAATTTAACAGAAATTAGTATCTAAGGACCAAACATGCAGGATATTACATCGTATGTGCTTGTTGGACTGTACCTTTATCCTCTGTTTGTAAAATGATCAAACCATCAAGTGCAAACTACAACATTCCATTAGTGTTACCTGTGCCACCTGATTACAGGTGAGGCCTGAGTCTGACATTTTAAGCATCAGTTGTGTCTCACTTGTTTCTTCTTTCTATTTCTAGAACTCAGCATTTACCAGCCATGACCTCATCAGTAGGAAGATCAAGGAGTACAACACCTTAATGAGGTAAAGTTAGAGGGGGCGGAGCTTCACACACATCTGATCGTAAAACTCTCAGGTAAATGTTTTTATTTATTTATTTATTTATTTTATCGTCGTGTTCTGTTCAGTCCAACTGGTAGCAAAACCGAGCCGTCGCCGAGAGCGTCCCGTCAGTCGCTGAGCATCAGACAGACGCTGCTGGGGGGTAAGGGGGAAACCAAAGCAACGAGTCCGCACTCACCCAAACCGGAGCAGGAGAGGAAGAGCCTGCACAAAGGTGGTTGTTTCTCTTAAAGATCTAGATGTGATGTTTCATAAGATTCCTCTGAACGTGGTGTAATGTGTGTAGACGACACCAGCCCTCCCAAGGACAAAGGCACGTGGAGGAAAGGAATCCCAGGGCTGATGAGGAAACCTTTTGAGAAGAAGCCGTCTCCTGGGGTCACGTTTGGAGTGAGACTGGACGACTGTCCTCCTGCTCTGAATAACAAGGTCCCTGATCAGTTTGTCCCTCCTCTGTTCTGTCTCTCCAGTCATCCATCATTCCCGTTCCTTAGGGTTAGCTCTCTTTACCCTTTTATTTCACTTCAAACTTCATAGGATATTTAAAATTATAATTTACTTGAGGAATTGTTGCTTATTTTGTTTTTTATTTGCTTATTTTACCTGTAAATTCAAAAACTGGCTCATGTGGCTCTGTTTCTTTATATTATTTCCCTTTAGTGTTTTTTTTTTCCTGGAGGTTTTTCAGGATTTTTCTATAGACTAGTTTTTGTACCTGATGTTGATTTTGCATAACTTGCCTAAAATAGGAGAGCAGAGGATTGGATTGTGACTATCTGTGCTTAGTTTGAGACACTAAATGGCAGAAAAACGGTTGTGAGAAGTTTTAAATTTGGCCAGATCAAAAATGCTTTCCTCTGAAAACGGGTCAAGTGCAAGATCTGTACGACAAAAGCTAAATCTAAAATAGGCCCATGCTGTATATTCACACATCGTTTTACTCTCTGATGGCCTTTAAACCCTTTTTCCTGTCCGTCTTCCAGTTCGTGCCTCTGATTGTGGAGGTTTGCTGTAAGCTAGTGGAGGAGAGGGGGCTGGAGTACACGGGAATCTACAGAGTACCTGGAAACAACGCCGCCATCTCCAACATGCAAGAGGAGCTCAACAACAAGGGCATGAGTGACATCGATATCCAGGATGATGTGAGTGTCCTCCATCGATCGTGGTGCTTTAATTAAACTCCCCTTGAAGTCTCAAAATACACAAACGCCCTAAATGCTCTCCTCTGAGCTCGGTGACCAGAGCTCCTTCTTCATCTTCTCTTACAGAAATGGAGAGACCTCAATGTGATCAGCAGCTTGTTAAAGTCTTTTTTTCGTAAACTTCCCGAGCCTCTCTTCACTAATGGTGAGTTGAGCTTGCCCTCACCCCTCTGGCCTAAATATGGAGCTGAGTGTTGTGTAAGCGTGCCGTTTCCCTGCAGACAGGTACACAGATTTCATCGACGCCAACAGAACCGAGGATCCGGTGGAGAGACTCAAAGTGCTTAAAAGGCTGGTGAGGAAACGTTTGTGTTTAGGAGTTTATAGACGCACGCATACATACACGTAGTAAAATACTTTAACTGCGTTTCGCAGCTTCACGAGTTGCCAGATCATCACTACGAAACCCTGAAGTTCCTCTCAGCTCATCTGAAAACTGTGGCTGAAAACTCAGAGAAAAACAAGGTAAAATCCCATCGATTCAGGGCCGCAGAGAACTTTCATGTGTTTAAGTCAAGACTCAAGACCCATCTTTTTAGGTTAGCTTTTATCTAAATATTTTCTACAGTTTTATTTCTCGTTTTACATGATTATATTTTATTACTTGCTTTGCATGTTCTATATGATTATATTTTAGCACTTATTTTTTAATTTTTGTCATTTTTTATTAGCTCTTTTATTAAACTTTTACTCATTTTAATCCAGTATTTCCTCTGTAGGGGCCCTCTGCCCCGGGAGCGGTGGTCGACTGTAGCTTCCTGGGCGCTCTATAGGTGGGGGGCTATGCTCCCCCTCCACTGAGCGCCCTGACTTAGTGTGGAAGACGTGATGCTGCCGGGACAGACGGCTCCTCTGATGGCGTTTCCTTGCCTTACCTTACTTGGCTCATCTGGACTCAGCCTATTATAATTTTTACTTGTGTGTGTGTGTGTGCGTGTGTATGCGTGTGCTTGCATATGTTTGTTAATGTTTTTAACCTGTTATGGGAATCTGGGGTCATTTTGTAAAGCACTTTGAATCACACTTTGTTTGAAAAGCGCTTTATAAATAAATTTGATTGATTGATTGATTTAGAGTTTTGGTTCAAGTTTAAGAGAATTAGCACATTTGTCTTATTTCAGATGGAACCGAGGAACCTCGCCATCGTGTTCGGCCCCACTCTGGTCCGCACCACCGACGACAACATGACCCACATGGTGACACACATGCCGGACCAGTACAAGATAGTGGAGACGCTCATTCAGAACGTGAGCAATCTCGTCCCTCGGTGATCTTCTGTTGGCACAAACATCAACAGAAACCTCATTTATTCTCGTTTCCTCTAGTATGATTGGTTTTTCACCGACGATGGAAACGGAGATCCAGTGGTGAGATGAAGTTTAATCGAGCTTCACAAACATCTCTGAATCTGGTCCAAACCATGCAAACGGGAGAAACGTCCTGTTTTTCAGACCGCGTCCCACGAAGAGAGCGCCGTGGAGTCTCAGCCCGTCCCAAACATCGACCACCTGCTGACCAACATCGGGCGGACGGGGACGTCTCAGGGGGAAGTGTCAGGTAACACGCTGCCTCTGAGTCTGCAGCCAGACAGGGATGCGTTTTAAACCAAGTGTTGATGATAGCGCAGCTTCTTCCTGAAACCACGCTTTTTGTTTTTGCCTTTCCAGCTGAGAGATGAAAATAGTCCAAACGCTTCGAGGACAATTAATCCGCATCTTTAAAAAAAGATGCAACAAATTGTCTTGTGTCTTTATTTGCTTAAAGATAAATAAGTGAGCCCTCTTTAGACGTTTTTTTAAACACCCCTCCCCCTTTGCTGTGCTGCTCCCCCCCCCCTCCCCCCTCCCCTGCCTGCTGTTGCACTAACTCGGCATGTTTTACAGTAAAAGGCGACCTTTGATTCCTCTGTCTCTAGTGAGGCTCTGTCGGGTGTCCTAACGGCTTTCCCAGCATTCACACATACTGATCTTGACACAGGCCAAGTGGGAGGAGTCTATCACGCCGTGATGTCACTGATGGACTCTTTATTGTCTGTGATGGACAGCTGGAGCTGTAGGAAGAAGGATTGTTGCCCGCAGTGTAGCTGCCTAGTCTGCAGGAACCCGCAGGTCTTTTAAAGCCCAAAACAAACGGGTTTGTGACGATAATCATAAAAGGGGGGAGGCGGCGCGGCGACACGGTACTGTCCCACGCTGTGGCTTCTCTGTCAGAGTTTACCTAACGCAGGCCGGTGCTACTGTCTGAAAGGCTCTCCGCTGTCTCTCCTCACTGTCTCCACAAGCTTGCGGACAGGAGAGACGGCACGGTATGGTTTCTACGTCACCGGTCCGTGTGCTCCCACCATCATCTGTACTGTAAGGGGTGTGTAGGGGGGCTGGGCTCTGTCACACAAAGTTTATCTGCAGGTGAAATCATTCAGACTGAGCAGCTGAGGACTGATTATAGGTTTCCCTACCGACACGCATCTCTCTCTCTCTTCATATAGCTAGCCCCTCTGTGACCCCCTGTCACTTTTCTTTTTTAATTTTTATTTTGGTTCATGCCGTCTCTGTCGTCATCATGTCCTGTTGCCATGGCAGCTCACGCTGTGTCAGTAAAATCACAAATGCAGCCCAGATACTGAATCGTTGGTTTGTTTTAAACAAAGTTCTGTTTTTTCTTATGGTTTTAATTGTGTTTACATTATTTTATAGTTTCAAATACTTATTGGTTAAATTATCGTGCAGCGTGAAGCTTTTACAAATTCATCAAATGTGGGTTAATAAGTAGTTTCACCTTGTTACAGAAACAGGATTTCTACGTTATACATTTTATTATTTGGGGTTGAATGAACTGAGTTTGTAAACCGCAGTTACCAAACAGTCGTGTTTACGTAGAAACAACGGTCTTTTGACTTTTTACTCTCTAAAGACGTTGATCTTTTTTCTTTAGTTTTCACTTAAATTTAAAACATCTTAAAGTTAGAAATTCATATTTATAATAAAAATTTTCAGTAACCCAAGTCGCCATCTTTGTTGCATGGAATGTTATCTGCTTCCAGCTGAAGGTTCTGTTGCATTTCTGTGTGTGTGTGTGTGTGTGTGTGTGTGTGTGTGTGTGTGTGTGTGTGTGTGCGTGCGTGCGTGCGTGCGTGCGCGCGCGTGCGTGCGTGCGTGCGTGCGTGCGTGCGCAGCATGGCCCGTTGTCTCCATTTCTGTGCTTCCTTTCATCAACACGACTCTTTTTCATTCCCTCACGTTGCACTTTCTTCTTCACCTTTATTTTGAAAATCCATCTAAAGTGTCCTTTTTTCCATCTCTTCTCTGACAGATTCTCCAGCTAGTGACTCGGCTAAATCAAAGGTGAGTGTGCCCAGGTCAGAGAGGATGTAGTGTAATGACGTTAATTTACATTTAATTAAGGGCCGTGAGACGTTAAGATTTCATATGGAGTATGAAATCCATCGTACGGACCGCTGGGTTATTTAATCAGAAGATTGGAACTTTTTAATGCAGGGATTAGAAAACACTTTGTATTAACTGAGAGACAAGAGAAGAGACAGAGTCCTTCAAATGTTTTGCGATGATTTATTACTAAATAATTTGAAACAATTTAACAATACTAACTCTACTAATGATGGATGTGTCTGTTTGAATGAGGTGTGAGGTGGATGGAGTGTGTGAATGAATGTTATTCAGAACTCTCGTATCCGGAAAAGCAAGTCTGAATGGGATGATGTTTTGCTTCTAACTAGTTTGACCGCAGTAGTTTCAAAAGCATGAGACGCCATTTTGTCGCATCCACACATACCCTCAGTGAGACCTCCGTCACGGATCCAGAATGTCAGGTCCACGGACCCTCCTCTCAGTACTGGAGCCAGTAGTACAGCGTCAGTAGTACAGTCTTTGGATCGTCTCCAGGTAAAAAGCGACAGGTGGTTCACAGCGTCAAACAGGACCCTCCTTGGGTCAGTGAGTTCAGCTTTTATTCTGAAAGGAACCATTGCTTGGTTGGTAAAAACAACAGATTTTTCCAGCTTGGTGGTTCTCAGCTTAAAAAGGGAAGTTCGGATGGCCGGTCCGATTACTCCGCTTAGCATGCGGTGAACTCCATGAGATCTTGAGAACTGAACTAAGATGGCGTTGGAACTGTTTTCTTAATCTGGATGTTTTGAATTCTGGTCGGATCAAAGCTGGCAGATTTATAAACACCACAGAGACTATGCCACGCTTCAGAAAGGAAGGTTCTGATTGGATCAGCACCAGTAATGTGTCATGTGTTTACACGAGTGTATCAGCGTGTCTAGTGAACTAGATTAAAGTCATTCACTTATTAAAACATCTTAATCATAACATTGTTATTTCACAGATTGGTCAACATTGTATTATTGACTAACACTTGTTTTGATTAGCTTTATTGAAAATAGTTCTTTGATTTAATAAAAGAAAAGAGTCTTTTAATCTTCTTTCTTCTTTTGCTGGAAAGTAAAACAGTTTAGAAGCGAATGCATGACCTTGAGGCTGTCTCATGCACTCTAGCACTGTGGAGAGAGGGTAAATAACCTTGGTGGAACAGCTCCTTCATCACGTTACAGTAGCATCACAGGGAGTCACTCCTGTGACTCCTCTCACCTCACATATTTCCCAACTTTAATTTATAGGGTTTTAAAAATGAAATTACCCCAAAAGAACAGCAGGAAGAAGCAGGAATACTTGTGTTAAACTTATGTTAGGCTTGAGCTCGATGTAACCCTTCCCGTTAGGTCGGAACTTGTGACCTGAGCTGGTCGATCATCAGCTTGTCTAACATGGCCAGCTGTGGGAAATCCTAAAAACCAGACTGTTTCTGGTTGTGAATGCATGTCTGAGTTATTTTTAATGTGCTGCTAAAAAAGTGGAGTTTTATTTACCGTAAATCCTCTAATACAGGCCGGTATTCAATTAAAGGCCGGGTCTCCAATTTTGGCCGGAGTCGGAGTCAGCGGAGGTGAATAAAGGCCGGTCTCTTATTGTGGCCGGGTGGGATGTGGTAACAAGCAAGTACGGGGGGGGGGGGGGGGGGGGGGGGGGGGGCGGTTGTGTCATCGTCTCACTTTTGATTTGCCAGTGACAGACCGCGAGGGTAACTTTAACCGTGTGGAGACGAAGAGGAGGCGAAAATTTGATATCAAGTTCAAAGAGAACGTGCTGATTATGCTGCAGAACACTCTGGGGAGCAGCAGCAGGGGTTGTATGAACTAGTCGACTTCACTATAGTGACTTTTTATGCCTGTCGTCGACTAGTCGCTGTCACGTGATAATGACCGGCAAGATGCAGCCCTCGGAAAAGACAGCAGCCTGCTGTCAGCAGGTGACAAGCTCCTGCGTTCGGGGGGGGGGGGGGGGGGGGGGGGGGGGGGGGGGCAACGCGCTGTGCCAGAGTGTCGGTACTGACACGCGATCGTTCATGTCAGTTCATTTCCTTTGATGTTTTCTGTCTTTTATTTGCGCCTGATGTGTTTCGCTGTGGAGCGGGGCGCATCACCTTGTCATCCGGTGACGCACCGATCACTGATGCGGCCGCCAAGCAGCTGCACTCCGTTGTTTTTGCGGTCGGTAGATCTTTTAGAACTGCAGTTCAAAGGTAACTCATAAGGTGAATATATATGAACCCAGCAGGTAGCAGTTTCTCTTTAGGACTGAGAGGAGATGCAGGAAGATAATAAACAGGCAGGACAGAAAAATAGTCAAATAAAAACAAGTTAGTTTTTGTACCTGCTGGTTGCAACAAACAGACACCATTGAAGGTAATCAGAAGTGAGGAACAGAAAATGAAATAATTATTTTAATGTTTAGAGCAGCAGGAACTCTGAGAGGCTGCAGGCGCATCAGTGAGTTTGCGGCCGCTGCGCAGGGGGAGGGGGGGGGGCTGAAGCAGAAACTACCATTGTTAAAAGAAATGTGTTTAACTTTGAACATGTGGGCGCAATTGTAATTGTCAAAAACTCCAGCGAACCATTAGTTCATTTTGCTCAAATAGAAATAGAGGCCTGCCTCTAATACTGGCCCTCCTTCCAATAAAGGCCTGGAGCTTGATGAGCTTGAATCAAATACAGGCCCTGGCCTGTATTAGAGGATTTACGGTATTTATTTTCTTCATTAAAGTTAGTTAAGTTAGTTTGTGGATGTAATAATTTGCCACCAGGGGGCGCTGTTTCCTGGCTGCTCCTCAGCTTCATGGCAGTGCTCGTGTCTCTGCAGCTTCTGCTTTAAGGCTGGCATGGAAATGACAACAGTGTGCTTCTTGTCATGACGCTGCAAATGTTCCTGTTTTTGTCCACTTTTCTGGTCTGTGTTGCTTCACGGGAGAAAGGTTGAGTACAGATTTAAGTTCTCCGGCAGGAACGGAACAGAGATGGTCCCCTTTGTTCCCCCTGGAGCATCCCTATTTATTTCTGTTTTGTTTTTTCTCCCATCTTTCATCTCTGCAGGGTTCCTGGGGCTCTGGGAAGGAACGGGAGCTCCTAGTCTCCTCCTTGTTTGCTGCAGCCAACCGCAAAAGAAAGAAGTCAAGGGAGAAGCCGCAGCCTAGCAGCTCGGATGATGAACTGGAGGCTTTGTTTTCCAAAAACCACTCGCCTCAGATGGAGGAGCAGGCCAAGACCCATCCCAGTCCAGAGTCCAACACAAAGCAGCAAGAGGAGAAGAAGGAGAGCAGGAGAAGTGCGGAGTTCACATCTAAAGCCAAGAAGGAGCACCGAAACTCCTTGTTCTTTAGGGAGAAGGCTCCACCCAGACGCGCCTCAGCTTCACCCTCCCAGGGGAAGTCCTCCCTGTCAGATCCTCCATCCCAGCTGGATGAAAACACCTCTGACCTCGGCACCATCAGCTCAGGAGCTTCTGTCCCTCGCTCAAGACCCAAAAAGTGGACTGGTGGAGCCATCCCTGACCTGCCTGCTGGTGTCGGACCAGGGGCTGTTGCAGAGACAGCCGCTGGCACTGAGGTGAGCTCCATCACCTCCGACTACTCCACCACCTCCTCCATCACATTCCTGACCGGCGCCGAGTCGATCGTTCTCAGCCCAGAGCTGCACGGCGGGGAGGAGGCAGACGACGAGCGCAGCGAGCTCATCAGCGAAGGACGGCCCATGGAGACAGACAGCGAGAGCGAGTTCCCGGTGTTCGCTCCAGGAGGCGGCAGCAGCGAGTCCACCCCACGACCGGACCAGAGTCAGAACGCCGAGGCCAGAGGAGAGAAAGGTGCAGCAGAGCGGAGCGCCTCGCCCAAACCGGAAGCACGCCGCCTTTTCCCAACACACAGAATGATTGAGTGTGACACGCTGTCCAGAAGGTGGTCCCTGAGACATAAAACAGACAGTGACTCGTCAGCAGAGGGCGCCGTTGGGAGCGGAGAGCGAAATGAAGGGAGGACAGAATCCTGCAGCCGCTGGTCTCGAGTTCTGGAGGTGATGAAAAAAGGCCGATCGACGAGCAGCATCAGCTCGTCTTCACGCAGCGAGTCGGATCGTTCAGAGCCAGCCTGGCACCTGAAGATCACCGAGCGACTTAAATTCAGGTTACGCTCGCCTGCTGATGACATGTTCTCCCAGAGGAGCCGAGGCCTCGACGCTCGTGGGAAGAAGAAGAACATCCGGAGGAGGCACACCTTGGGTGGACAGAGAGACTTTGCAGAGCTGGCGGTTATTAACGACTGGAGGGAGCAGGGCGGGGTGGACCAGACGGCTGACCTGTCCCCGCTGGACCACCCCAAACCCAGATCCTCCTCTCAGGACTACTCCATCCGAGACTGGATCCCCAGGGAGCGGCGCAGATGTTCCGGCCCGAACGCAGAGGTGGCGCCTAAAGCCGAGCCAGAGGACGATCATCCGGAAGCTTCGGATCTCGTTCCTGAAAACCCTTCACCGTCTCCAGATGCCCAGCTTCCAGCGGGGGACCACGTTAACGGCAGCGGGCTGCAGGACAAAAACAAAACGTCCCTCGGGACGGACGCTCACCCACACAAGCTCTCTGGAGGACAGGTCGTCCGCTCACGGTTCTACCAGTATTTGTGAATGTGTGTAATTTAGCACAGTATTTTTTCTACAGACATGTGTCTCCTGTACATACGCCTTCATGATTGTTACTAAGAGATGCTTATGCATGTAAATCTCTGCCATATTGGAGCGGGCACGGAAACACGACCTGGACTTTCTCCTGCAGGACGGAACATGGCGTCATCCAACAGTGAAGCGGGAATCCTGGTCTAGTTCTTCCTCATCTAAGTTTAATGAAGAATGTATTACTATTTCTGGACTAATACTAGATGCTTTTGTGTTTTTCTGTCTGTACTTGAAGTATGTAGAAACGCTGACGGCTGCTTTCTGAGCTGCGTGCAGTGGGAAGGGTTTTCACGGCACATCAACCACAGCCAGATATTAGCTGGAAGGACTGGAAGATTATTATAGTTTTATTAAATAAAGCCTGAAACAGTAAAGATATGCTGATACTATAGTATCTGATGCTTGGTACAGTGGTTTTTATCTCCAAAATGTGTTGAATTTTGACTCCAAATGAGATGTTTTTACATTTTTATCTCAAAAAGAAAAAGTGCCTCTTTTATTTTCTTTAAAAAATGTTTTTAAAACAAAGATGAAGAGAGTATTAGTTTTAAAGACCCTCCCCCCTCATCCCTGGTTCGCCTCCAGTTTACAGTCATACAAACATATTTGTGTTTTATTTGTAATTTAAATTATTTTCTGTGCATCATCTGTTAAAAAAAAGCACAGGATCTGAAAACGAGAAAAGTCTGGGTTTAAAACTGCATGACAAACACTGAACAGGTCAAATTTCACCTTTTTTAACGGAACATGAATTTAACTCCGCCCCCTTCCCCATCAAACACTGGAAATAAATAATCTTTATTAAATCTCTGGATTGTGTGGAAGTATGTTATTACTGTTGCTGTTTACCTTGTGGTAATGATGTGATTTGTAAAAACAGGTTTAACTCCAACTAAATCAGGCTCAAAGAAGCCAAAGTGATATTTTCACCAAATGTAGGTCAATCAATTATAATTACCTACTGGAATTATCTCAACATTGTGCATGCGTGGGTTCTCTCCAGGTACTCCGGCTTCCTCCCACAGTCCAAAAACATGACTGTTAGGGTAATTAGTCTGTCTTTTGTCCTTAGGTGTGTGTGTGTGCGTGCATGATTGTTTGTCTTGTGTGTGTCTGTATTGCCCTGCGATGGACTGGCTCTCTGTCCAGGGTGTACCCCGCCTGATTACCCATTGACCGCTGGAGATAGGCACTAGCCTCCCCACTCTCCACCCCCGCGACCGTACGTGGACAAAGAGGATTCAGACAATGGATGGATGGATGGAATATAAAACATGTTTTCAGTTACTTCAGCTTTTGCATAACCACGTGTTCATTCATAGAATAGCAATACCCCTTCTTAACCACCAGAGGGATCTGCAGCCTCAGCAGCTCTACTTCCCTCACTGTTGATTCCATAGATATCATATATATTACTATATTAGTATATCTGATATCTATGGTTGATTCCCCCACCTAAGAGTACAAATAGTCATTTCAAAAACTATAAAATATGTTTTTAATCTACATTATTTATTTAAAGTAAATTAGCTCACAAATATTGATGTATAATGCACAAAATTAGGAAAAAATATTGATGTTTAATCACTTTATTTGTCTGAATGGGTTGAAATCAAATGTGATATAGTTTTATTCTGAGGAGTTGCCAGTGTCATTAGGAGCAACTATTAGGAGCCTGTCTGAGCTCTAGTTATCCTTGCAGTTCTTCTGATCAGTCATCTTCATCCTGAAAACGTCGATTCCTTCTTTGATCAGCAGTTCTTGGGCGTAACGAACCGTCTCTGGAGGCAGGAAGCGTGAGCGTGAGAGAATCCAGGCATATTCAATGTGAAACAGGCGGAGGACGTCCGTGCAGGAGTACACAACCGCCACGCTGGAGTAGTCAGTGGTCAGGACCCAGTATGGGCTGTAGGGAGTAACTGGCAGCAACATCCACAGAGAAAAACACGTTATGATGGTGTTACAGTCCAAAAACGGACCAAAGTAACCTGCTACTGTACGGAATGCACAACTTTACTGCTAAAGTTTAAAAAGGAGAACTCACGTCCAAAATGTTGCATGTCTTTAGTACTTACAGTAGGAGAAGCTAACTCCAAGTTTGGCTGCTTCTCTCACGTCAGGAATCACAGCAGTTCCTTCTGCAACTCTCACTTTGTCCTTACTGAAACATAAAAAACACACAAATACTCGTAAATAATAGTGCTTTGGTGCTATTTATTATTGAGTAAAAGCTGCATTTCATTATTTTGGCAAGTACTTTTGAGCATTCGGCCGCTTGTATTCGCGATCTCGTTCTTTTAGTCATTACCCAAAGCTCATGACCATAGGTGAGGATTGGGACGTAGATCGACCGGTAAATTGAAAGCCGGGCTTTCTGGCTCAGCTCCCTCTTCACCACGACAGAACCTACCCAGCAAGAGCTGAAGGTCAGAGCTGGATGAAGCCAGGAGGACCACATCATCCGCAAAAAGCAGAGACGAGATTATCCTGCCACCAGACTCGACACACTCCACACCACGGCTGCACCTAGAAATTCTGTCCATAAAGGTAATGAACAGAACCGGTGACAAAGGGCAGCCCTGGTGGGGTCCAACCCTCACCGGGAACAGGTCCGACTTACTACCGGCTATGCGGACCAAACTCACGCTCCTCTGGTAAAGGGACTGAATGGCCCTTAACAGGAAGCCACCCACCCCATACTCCTGGAGCGTCCCCCACAGGGTGCCCCTGGGGACACGGTCATAAGCCTTCTCCAAATCCACAAAACACATGTGGATTGGTTGGGCAAACTCCCAAGCCCCCTCCATCACCCTTGCAAGGGTATAGAGCTGGTCCACAGTTCCACGGCCAGGACGAAAACCACATTGCTCCTCCTCAATCTGAGATTCAACTATCGATCGGACCCTCCTCTCCAGTACCTTGGGGTAGACCTTTCTAGGGAGGCTGAGGAGTGTGATCCCCCTATAGTTGTAACACACCCTCAGGTCTCCCTTCTTAAAGATGGAGACCACCACCCCGGTCTGCCACTCCACAGGAACTGCCCCCGATGTCCACGCAATGTTGCAGAGACGTGTCAACCAAGACAGCCCTACAACATCCATAGCCTTGAGATACCCAGGCCGAATCTCATCCGCCCCCGGGGCTCCGCCGCTGTGTAGTTGTTTGACTACCTCAGCAACTTCTGCCCCCGAGATTGGACAGTCCATCCCCAGGACTCCCGGCTCTGGTTCCTCCTCAGAATGCGCATTGGTGGGATTGAGGAGCTCCTCAAAGTATTCCTTCCACCGCCCGACTATAGCCCCAGTTGACATCAGCAGCTCCCCATACCCACCGTAAAAGTGTGAGCGAGTTACTGCCTTCCTCTCCTGAGGCGCCGGACAGTTTGCCAGAACCTCTTTGGAGCCGATTGATAGTCTTTCTCCATGGCCTTACCAAGCTCCTCCCACGCCCGAGATTTTGCCTCAGCAACTGCCACTGCTGCACCCCGTTTGGCTATCCGGTACCTGTCTGCTGCCTCCGGAGACCCACAGACCAGTCATGCCCTGTAGGCCTCCTTCTTCAGCCTGACGGCTCCCTGAACCTCTGGTGTCCATCAGCGGGTACGGGGGTTGCCACCACGACTGACACCGGCCAACTTGCGACCACAGCTAGCAACAGCCGCCTCAACAATCGCAGAGTGGAACAAGGCCCACTCGGAGTCAATGTCCCCCACTGCTCTCAGGACGCGGTCAAAGCTCTGCCGAAGGTGGGAGTTGAAGACCGTCTTGACAGGTTTTTCTGCCAGGCGTTCCCGGCAGACCCTCACTATGCGTTTGGGTCTGCCAGGTCTACGCGGTATCTTCCCCTGCCATCTGATCCAACTCACCATCAGGTGGTGATCAGTTGACAGCTCCGCTCCTCTCTTCACTCGGGTGTCCAAAACATACGGCCGCAGGTCAGATGATACGACTACAAAGTCTATCATCGACCTGCGACCTAGGCTGCCCTGGTACCAAAG